GGCTTAGGCTTCTGCCTGAGGTCAGCGATGAGGGGTAAACCTCCTGCCCAGGATGGGTGTGTTCACGAAATTCTCTTTCTTTGGAATGGCTTGAGCAAAATTGTGTCTGGACACCAGATGAACCCTTGAGGGCTTTCCCTAGCCTGAGCTCTTCGACTTCTAGGGGTTGATTCATTCTATTGTCCCATCAACAAGAGAGACTCGCCTTCATGTGTCACTGGGAGTCCTCCACATTCCCCGCCTTTCCTGTCTCATTCTCACCATAGAGATTGGTAGATTTGAGTGCTTCTTTTTCTGGGCTCTCACAGCCCCTTGGAGTGTGTGTACAGACCCACGCCCTACTATTCTGTAGCTCCCTGAGAGCAGGGTTTATTCTGTCCAGCTTTGTTTGCTGGTGCCCATCTCAGTGGCATGCTAGGTGGACAAGTAGCCCGGGGACCCTCCCTGTGCCTCACAGTGGCCTGGGGAGATGCTTAAAAATGCCCAGCCCCGCTCCCAGAAATCCTGACTTAAGTGACCTGAGGTCTGGATGCTGGTGGTCTGAAAAGCTCCCCACGTGACCTAATGTGAAGCCCCTGTTGAGACCCCCCCCCCAGAGTCGACCGTTAATGAAAGTTTGTCTTAGAATGAACCAATGATGTTTGTCCAAGTGATACCTTCTCTTTTATTTGTGTGTGTGTGTGTGTGTGTGTGTGTGTGTGTGTGTGATCCTCAAGCCCTACTCACCCCTAGCATTTATCCCCTGTTAACGCCATTTGTTTGAGCCATAAAACTCTTGGGGGAACCAGGTTCGAAGGAGAGCTACTGGCAGGCATTTCTCCTCTGATGTTTGGAACTGTGCTGAACAACTCACTAAGTCTTAGGAAGTTCCTGCCTCCAGCACGCAGGATTCTCTCTCGTCCTTCAGCGTCACTCCATACCAGCTAAACCTCTTCCTCAACGTTTTCTAGACTGCAGACCACGGTTTCTGAGCCTTGTGGGAAGTGGTCGTGGGCAAGTCTGAGGGGCCGTGTGTGAGGCCCCAGGTGGGCCGAGCAGCCTGGAGGGAGATGCACGTGGACAGGGTGTGTTATGCAAATGTGAATTACATGAAGTGATTGATGGAGTTTCATTCAGGGAGAAAATGATGAGAGAAATCAGACCACAAAATGTTTGTCGAAATACCATACGATATCACTTATATGTGGAATCTAAAATACGACACGAACCTATCTACGAAACAGAAACAGACTCACAGCTCTAGAGAATAGACTTGTGGTTACCAAAGGGGAGGGAGATGGGGGAGGGATGGATTGGGAATTTGGGATTAGCAGATGCAAACTATTTTATACAGAATGGATAAACAACAAGGTCCTACTACATGGTACAGGGAACTATATTCAATATCCTGTGATAAACCATAATAGAAAAGAATATGAAAAAGAATATACATATGTATAACTGAATCATGTTGCTGTACAGCAGAAATTAAGACATTGTGAATCAACTATACTTCAACAACAAAAAAAAGTTTGTCCAGTCCAGTTCTATGCGCAGCTCACTGCTAGGTGCTGTGGGACTTCAGGGGATCTGCCCTCTGTATGGGAAAACCAGAGAAGAGGACCTAAATATATGAGATGAAGCACAGATTTCCAAAGCTACCAGAGCTCTGAGAGGAGTGATGTCCATTTCCTGTAAAGCTTTGGTGTCTCATCCGTGGCTGGCGGTAGCCTCTGAGTCTAAACCAGCTGCAGCTGGTCACTGGCATGAGGTCTTTTTTTGAACACACAAAAGAGTAAAGGGAATATTTTCCAAACACACACCCTATTTCCCCATATCTGCTTCAGTTAATTTTTTAAAAGACTGAGACATTGTTAACCCTCCCCTGTGCCACTTCCTGTCCTCCCTCCCCCCTCCCTTTCTTGAAATTGGTATTTGTCTTTCCCATGTATGTTTTCCTATGCACGTTATTATACACGTAGGGCATTCACGCACAATATATGATACGATTTTGAAAACTTTCAAACTTTATATGAGTGGCATCATACTGTATCCTCTGCATGTTTTCCACTCACTGCTCTGTTTTTGAGGTTTATTCATGTTGATACAAAATTAACTAAACTACTGTTTACCCATTCTCTCTCTCTCTTTTTTTTTTTTTTGCGGTACGCGGGCCTCTCACTGTTGTGGCCTCTCCCGTTGCGGAGCACAGGCTCCGGATGCGCAGGCTCAGCGGCCATGGCTCACGGACCCAGCCGCTCCGCGGCACGTGGGATCCTCCCGGACCGGGGCACGAACCCATGTCCGCCTGCCGATGCAGGGGACATGGGTTCGTGCCC